GTTTACAGCAGTGCCTGGTACTTACCAAGTGCTCAGTAAAGGTTGCAGTTGATATTAGCGGTAGCAGCAATCGCATATAAGCCACACAGTTCAACAGAAGATTGAAAGCAGGGGCTGATACTCCATGGGTTTTCAGTCAAATCAGAATCTTGATGTCACTTCTGTGATGATGTTGCACTCTTTTCTTTCCTTCTGAACTGCATTCCCCCAGCCCCATACAAACAGCCCCTTTGCTTATCAAAAACCCATCCTTCAAAATCCCGTTAGGTTTACACTTCTCCACAAAGCTTTTCCTAAGCCCCTAGCAGGAAGCACTTTCAGTCGTGATCATGCCTTGCAGGAAAGATGCCACCACCTTTCTGTAATTTATTTCCTTGCCAATTAGTTGATCTTTGACTAAGTGTGCCCCTTCTGGGAAGTTCAGCTGCTGTCACTGTTTTATCCAGGAAAGCCTGATGCCTTGTGTAGGGTTTTACCACTTGAGGTTGCTACTCGGATAGATGCAGATAAAAACATAAATTACATCTCTAACTGAAACTGAAGCATGCCTCCTGTTCCCCATGATTGAGCTAAGCTGCTAAACATAAATCATCACAGCGATAATCAGCTCTTTCACTCCCAAAGCTGAAGAAAGGAAAAGCCAGCAATTTCTTATGTGTGATATATGTCCACCCTCTCACCTGGTGTTTTATAAACTTATTGTTTTAACTGTCTTCTAAGTATCTATGCCTGGGAGGGTGCCTTCCTCTGTTTCGCAAAATGCCAAGTGATACCACTGTGATATAGAAATAATGATCATTAGAAGACAGCCTCAAATTATTTGACATTCAGATTGAAGGAGGAAAGTAGTACTTTTTTGTAATAACCTAGAATTTGGATCATAAATGGCATTCAAAATAAAAGCATATTGGTTTCTGTCAGAAAAGGATAGTTAAAACCTTCTCACATCGGAAGTCAAATATCACAAAATGGAATCATGGGTTGAGCACACAGCCTCAGATCTGCACCCAGGCTATAAAGAGCCATAACCTGTAGCCATGATACATTTGAAAATATCAGTACTAATAGGAGCTAAATAAGAGAGAAGTCATATTTTACCTGAAACTCCAAAAAAGTATTTAATAATCATTAACTTGTTATCACTTCCCAACCACTGGCCTCTTTATTTTTTAAAATGTCCAAATACCAGGGTTTCTAGAATTCGGCTCATCTTGACCCTGCCTGCCTTAAATTTTCAAGGAATTCTTCCTTTGTCACAGTTCCTGGTGGTGAATGTGAGACCATTTGTTTGCTTGGTGGAAGGAATGTAAGACCAAGAATCAGACACGGTATGATTTCCAGCCCCGCCAACCTTTTTTTTTTTTTTTTTTTTGGGACAGAGTCTCGCTTTGTCACCCGGGCTGGAGTGCAGTGGTGCCATCCCGGCTCACTGCAACCTCCGCCTTCTGGGTTCAAGCGATTCTCCTGCCTCCGCCTCCCAAGTAGGTGGGATTACAGATGCGCACCACCACACCTGGCTAATTTTTTGTATTTTTATTAGAGACAGGGTTTCTCCATGTTGGCCAGGCTGGTCTCAAACTCCTGACCTCAGGTGATCCGCCCACCTCGGCCTCACAAAGTGCTGGGATTACAGGCATGAGCCACCGTGCCCAAGTTGTTTTTTTTTTTTTTTTCCTTGGGTGGCGGGGAGGGCAGAGTTTTGTCACTGTCTTCCAGTCTGGAGTACAGTGGCGTGATCTCAGCTCACTGCAACCTCCGCCTCCTGGGTTCCAGCGATTCTCCTGTCTCAGCCTCCCAAGTAGCTGGGATTACAGGCATAGTGCTCCATGCCTGGCTAATTTTTGTATTTTTAGTAGAGACAGGGTTTCACCATGTTGGCCAGGGTGGTCTCGAACTCCTGACCTCAGGTGATCCACCCACTTTGGCCTCCCAAAGTGCTGGGATTACAGGTGTGAGCCATTGTGCCCAGCCTTGCCACTTTTAATAGCTGTATGGCCTTGGGCAACTATTTAACCTCCAAATATGTTTCCTCCTCTGTAAAATAGGAGTGATTACATCACAGAGAATTGCTCTGAAAATACTTACAATTATACTCATTTGTTTCCTGGAATATGTACCATGGGCCAGTCATTGTTAAATAACTTATATATCTTCACAGTAGCCCTATGAGTTAGGTGCTCATATCATCTTCATTTCGTAAACGAGGAAACCAAGGCACAGAAAGGCTAAGTAACTTGCTTAGAACCATTCAGCAAGTAAGCAGTCTGCAAAAGCAAGAGATAATTAAGGGCTTCCTCAGATCCAGAGTGTGTCAAAGGTGTCATGTGAGCAGGGACACCTGGGGGCAGGTGCTGCTGAGCTGGCCTGCCCACCCTCCATGTCTTCCCTGTCCCCCTCCTCTGTGTTAGGGCCCTTGCCCTCCTGGGACGTGCCTGCTTTGTGCTTTGCCCACCCTGCCTTTGATTATCCTGTTCTCACGCTTGGTATTCTTCCCATCATCTCTCTGTTTATTAAAATTACACCAATTTTTCAAGCCCTAGCTAAAATATCCTCTACAAAGCCTTTCCTTATCCTTCTTGGAAAAGGAAAATGACTGGAAGAAGGGCATTTCTTCCTATTTTGTGTAGAGTTTGCCACCTCCTGCCTTTCCCTGTATTACTGGTCACCATCTTCATCAGTGCTGTAACCCATACTTTTCTGTAGGTCTTGACATACACAAAATGCTTTCATACAGGTTGTGCTATTTGCTCTTGTGCAGAAGCTTATAAAATAAGCAGGAAAGGAACTTTAGTCCCATTTCTACAGATCAGTATTTCTTGAACACCTACTATGCACCAGGACTGTGTGCTAGGTGCTAAAGTTAGAAATGTAATGTCTCCAGAACCTTGATTATCCCACTTTTACTTTTTTTTTTTTTTTTTTTAATCTGAGGTGGAGTTTCACTTTGTCACCCATCCTGGAGTGCAGTGGCGTAATTTTGTCTCACTGCAGCCTCTGCCTTCTGGGTTCAAGCTATTCTCCTGCCTCAGCCTCCCAAATAACTGAGATTACAGGCACACACTACCACTCCTGGTTATTATTATTATTTTTTTTTAATCAGAGATGGGGTTTCACCATGTTATCCAGGCTGATCTTGAACTCCTGACCTCAAGTGATCTGCCTGCCTCGACCTCCCAAAGTGCTGGGATTACAGGCATGAGCCACCGCATCCAGCCTATCCCACTTTTACAAACACAGAAATTGAAACCTAGGCCAGGTGCAGTGGCTCACACCTGTAATCCCAGCACTTTAAGAGCCTGAGGTGGGTGGATCACTTGAGGCCAGGAGTTCAAGACCAGCCTGAACAACATGGTGAAACCCCATCTCCACTAAAATTACAAAAATCCGCCAGGCATGGTGGCACACGCCTGTAATCCCAGTTACTCAGGAGGCTGAGGCATGAGAACTGCTTGAACCTGGGCGACAGAGGCTGCAGTGAGCTGAGATCACACCACTGCACTCCAGCCTGGGTGACAAAGTGAGACTCTGTCTCCAAAAAAAAAAGGAACCTAATAAAAGTGGCCAGCTGTCCCACTGAACATCTGTTTTAGTCCCTGGGGCTTGCCAGGCTCTTTGCCACCTCTGGGCCTTTGCAGATGCTATTCCCTCCACCTGCAACATAATTCTTTCCTCTCCAACCTGACCAAGCTCTACTCGTCTTTCAGAGTTTAATAAAGGTGTTGCTTTTTTCAGAGAGTCTTCCACTGATCACCCCCTGCTGCCGAGTCTAAAATAGGCCTGCTAGTCTCTTATGGCACTCTTTTGCTTTTCTTAGCAACACTTAACACAAATAGTAATTTTTATTTTACTTTTATAGATGTATTTGATGTCCCTCCATCAGACTGTATACTCCATGAGGACAAGGATGTTGATGTTTATGTTAACTCTTACACACTCAGTGCCTGGCACCATGCCTGACCCAGAAGAGGGACTCGAGAAATAAAGTGTCAAATGAACGAATGTGCAGACATCAGCCATTTACTCAGCTTAGTAAATGCCAGAGGAAAGGCTGGAACCCAGATTTTCTGAAGCCCAGTCAACACGGACCTCCCCGTGTTCTCTGACACCGCCCATGACCAGCTTCCGCTTGCTAAGTTGCACAGTTACAGGGACTAAGAACCTCAGTCTTTGTTCTTTTTATGGGTTCCTAAGACATCAGCACTGTTGGGTATGTGCGTATTGAGGATCTGAAGGGTGGATATGTGTGTGGATGGGTGGACAGAAGGAATGAGAGACAGACAGACAAGCAGAATGCCAGGATAATCCACAAAGGGGCAGGAGATGGTCAATGTATGGAAGCACAAGGGGGCACATCGGTCATGTGGTAAGCACCTGCACTGCGGCAGGCCCTGTGTTGGAAGGAAGTGGCAGTGTGAACATCAGCCTAGATATAGAACCTCCACTTCCACCCTGATTAAGATCTAAAATTAATACCCTATTCTAGAGTTCTTGGAATAAACCTTCCATTTTGATAGGTCTTAAAAAATTTTCATTTTTATACTTCTGTCACATTATATTGGAACACTTTCATTATACATGAAAGCAGCTTTTATTTCTTCTTACTCCAGGCAGCCTGTTACTATAGCAATGTTGGAAGTATTTTGAGGTATTTTTATACAGTGAGTTCTACAAACTCTCTGCAAACTGTACATAATGTTTGGTTGAAATGGGCTATCATATCCAAAATTGTCTCTCTTTTTTCTTTGCATCCTTTGTTAAACTTTTGCAAACTTTGCTATAACTTAATTCCTGAAAATTAAAGCTCTTATGTTTAGAAAAAAAAATTTGAGGCAGGGGGGTTGTAAATATATTTGCCTATGAACATGAAAAATAGCTCCGAAATAATCTGAACTTTATTTAGGTACCATAAGGATATTATTGCTTCTTGGGGCCTTCTGGGTGTTTTTTTTTTTAACCCAGAAAATGAGGTGCAATCATAGATTTCCTCTGTGTGTCTGCAGGGTCTAGACAATTTCAAAGTGAAACAGAAGTTCTTCGCTGGCAGCCAGGAGCCAATGGCCACCTTTCCTGTGCCATATGATTTGCCTCCAGAACTGTATGGAAGTAAAGGTGAGACACAGATAAAGGAAAACCATGGGTGGATATGCATAAGAAAAACAAACAGAGCCCAGGAGAAGCCTTTGGTCTTAGTGGGATCCTGGCTCATGGAACCCTCTGGAAGCTCAGGTTTGCAGAGAGACCTGTGCCAACCTATCTGGGGCTGTGTAGCCACTAGTTAGTCTTAGAATCCCTTTGTATCCTATAATTACTATACAGATCCTTCCTGACTTACAGTGGAGCTACATGCTGATAAACCCCTCATAAATTGAAAATCTCATAAGTCAAAAATGCATTTAATGCACCAAACCTACTGAGCATCATAGCTTAGTCTAGCCTACCTTAAACATGCTCAGACCACTTAAATTAGTCTACACTTGCGCAAAATAATACAAAGACTCTTTTATAATAAATTGTTGACTATCTCATGGAATTTATTGAAGACTGTACCAAAGTACTGTTTCTACTGAATGCATATCACTTTCACACCATCATAAAGGTCAAAAGGTCATTAAGCCTAACTATCAGAAATTAAAACCAAGAAATGTAACAATAATAAACCTATTGTAATATACATTTATGCAGGCCCAGTGGCCCACACCTGTAATCCCAGCATCTTTGGAGGCCGAGGCAGGAATATTACTTGAGGCCAGGAGCTCGAGGCCACCTTGCCCAACATAGTGAGACCCAGTATGTAAAAAAAAAAAAAATTGTTTTAAATAGCCAATTGTGGTGGATCATGCCTGTAGTCCCAGCTACTTGGATGGCTAAGGTTGAAGAATCGCTTGAGCCCAGGAGTTTGAGGCTGCAGTGAGCTATGATTGAGCCACTGCACTCCAGCCTGAGTGACAAGGCAAGACCTCAACTCTAAGGAAAAAAAAAAAGTTCTTATGACAATTTCCAAAAAGAAGAAAATAGCAAGGGAAGTGGTATTTTATGTTTTTGCAAGCCTCTTTATGTGCATCTTAAAAGGTAACACCTGAATTCTCATTGCTGTGCTCTCTTTGAGGCTGTTGTGATATCACATCATATAACCTCTGTATACCTGTGTAAAAATGAAGGTGAAAACAACAAATGATGGCTTAATACTACAATGAAAATAGTGTTGACTTCACAGACCCTCCCAACCAGCACGCTCACAAACCCTCAAAAGGGAGGTCCCCAGGGGCCACACTTTGAAAACTGCATGCATTGAATCTTAAGGGCAGTCACCAAGTATCTTTCACAGTAGAAACATAATAGGAATAGCTACAGAAGGTTCAGATGTCCTCAGAGGAAGGCTGGCTGGCATCAGTGTACCCACCTATGTCCAGCCTGCATGTATCCCAGCCTCACAGGCTGCTCTGCTGCTTTTATCAGCCCTGAGAATATCTGTCTTTAAGGTGGGTCCACACCTAGCAAACTCAGACAGGATGAGATATATAATCAAGACACACTTAATTTAAAATGGCAAATTACATCACCAAATCAGCATATTCTCCACTGGAAAGGAGAGGCCTACATGAGTAACCAAATTATAATCTGCAGGTTTCTGAGCCAGTGTTAAATCTGAACAGAGAAAAGATTTTTTTTCAGTTGGCAAATTTTAATGACATCACTCATTGATACCCCAAAATCTCCAGTTCTTACCAAGCTCGGCCTTGCCCAGTAGGTTCCTCTGTTCCCTCGACAGTGTTTCATGGGATCTCACAACTTCCCCACCCACTAACCATTCTCAGCTTTCATGGTGAACCAAGCCTCCTCTGTCTGATGGGCCCTTTCTTAGATTGTGTTGACACATCTAACAAAGTTAATCCTGTCTCATGCTGTCCAGTGTGCCGTCCTGCCTCTTGCTGGTAACTTTGTATTTCTCTAATCAATAGTTTGAGATTAAGTTTTAGGAGGCATTCTTTTTCTTCTTTCTAAAGTGTGGAAATTCTCTGTAGCCTTTCTGTTGAGTCCTCCTAATTTGTTGTGTATTCATGCATATTTCGTTTTCCATAGCAAGACTATCAGGATTCTTATCAGAATTTAAAGCAGTCTGTCAGCACCTTACCTGCCACCAAAAAAAAAAAAAAAAAAAACCAGGAAAAGCCTGCTTTAAAGTCAGGCCATGTTTATGTGCCAACTCCACAACTTGCTAAATAGACTTGGACATTTATTTACTTTCTCTAGGTTTTAGTGTCTCTGTCTACACAATAAGGAACTATGAGTACCTACCTTATAGGGTTATTGAAAAGATTAACTGAGATTATCTATAAAGTACTTATCTCAGAGCTAGCAGTCAATAAACATTAGCTGCTTTTATTGTAATTGTTATTAAAATGCAAAGTTCAGTTCCTGGCAACAGTAGATGTTGAATTAGTGCGAATTCCCTCCCCTTTTCCGTGGTGAGCTGGTGATTTTTAAATATCTAAAGCTTGTGCAAGTCTGTCCCTAAACCTGTCTACCTCTTCTTCCCTCTTTTGGCTTCGTGCTACTTTTGTCTTTTTCTCCCCTTATCTGTTCTTCAGGTTCCTTTTCTTCCTTTTCTTTTTTTTTTTAACCCAAGTTCTCCTCCTCCCTGTTGGAAGTGGGGACTGACTGATTAGGCTTTATCTGCTGGGGTCTGGCCTTGGGCCCTGCACGTCCCACCTCCAACCCTGCACCCTGAGTGGATCCACCGCCTTCCTTTCTTTAGTCCTAATCTTCAAAGGACTAAGAAGGCAAAAATGGAAGCGCTAGAAGAGCCTAACTAGCCGGGCGAGGTGGCGGGCGCCTGTAGTCCCAGCTACTCGGGAGGCTGAGGCAGGAGAATGGTGTAAACCCGGGAGGCGGAGCTTGCAGTGAGCTGAGATCCGGCCACTGCACTCCAGCCTGGGCAACAGAGCGAGACTCCGTCTCAAAAAAAAAAAAAAAAAAAAAATTGTTCCAAGGTCCCTTTCCTTCCAGTAAAGTAAGCATTCCCAGGAACTTAGAAGTTTACAACTAGGTATAGTGTCTTAGACCATGGAATGATACATCTTTTATTTGGCCAGCAAGCAGAATGCTTTCCAGTGTTTAAATGAGTTTTGTTTGTTTCTTCAGCATTTCTTTTGAAAGATACATATAATCTCAGGGTATGCTTAAGCTAAAATAATATTTTTTAAAAAAAAAATAAAGATACATACAAGAGAGACTGGAGCATTTTATTTAATATTGGTACTGTTTTGTCTTCTACACTGCCTCAGTTGCATGTAGGACAGTATTAGTAATTCAGTATCACCAGTTCATATATAGCCAACATTCCTGAAGAGCCGTATAGACTATAGAAAGGCATTTACCAAGATTGAAAAAGTGAGTGGTTAAGAACATTTGAAAAGCACTTCATTTTAAAAAGTGATCTTCAAGCCATTGTAATACCTCCAAGATCTTGTCAGTGGTTTTTTTTAAAGACAGAAGACTGTACAGAAAGCTTAGCAAAGGAATATACTACTGTGAATGAAGTAAAGCTCAATGCAAGAGGCTACCAGGTATCTTGAAACCAAGAAAATGATCAAAGGAAAGCAACAACTAAGACTCAGCTACCAGTATTCCTTGCTTGGTGCAGTAGTTGCTGTTTATTCATTCTCTCCACAGATCTCTATTGAGAGCCTATTGTGTGCAGACACCATCTAGGTACTTGGAATATGTTGGCAAACAAGACAGGCACAAATCCTCACTCTCATCAAACTTACATTCCTCTTCCCCTGAAAAATCATACTTAACCAAAGCCATTTTACTAATAGCAGTCATTTTAAAAGAAGCCTTTTTTTTTTTTTTTTTTTTTTTTTGAGACAGAGTCTCGCTCTGTCGCCCAGCCTGGAGTGCAGTGCACCTCTCGGCTCACTGGCAAGCTCCGCCTCCCGGTTTACGCCATTCTCCTGCCTCAGCCTCCGAGTAGTGGGGACTACAGACGCTCGCCACCTCGCCTGGCTATTTTTTTTTTTTTTTGTATTTTTTTACTAGAGACGGGGTTTTCACCGTGTTAGCCAGGATGGCTCGATCTCCTGACTCGTGATCCGCCCGTCTCAGCCTCCCAAAGTGCTGGGATTACAGGCTTGAGCCACCGCGCCCGGCCTTTTTTTTTTTTACAGATATTCTCCGCTCGGTCACCCTAGGCTGGAGTGCAGTAGCATGGTCTCAGCTCACTACAGCCTCACACTGCTGGGCTCGAGTGATACTCCCACTTCAGCCTCCTGAGTAGCTGGCATTACAGTGCACACCATCATGCCCAGATAATTTTTTAAAAATGTTTTGTAGAGATGGGGTCTCACTGTGTTGCCCAGGCTGGTCTTGAACTCCTAGGCTCAAGTAGTCCTCCTGCCTCAGCCTCCCAGAGTGTTAAGATTACAAGTGAGAGCCACCACACCTGGCCCAAAGAAGGCTTTTATAAAGCAAAATCACCACCTTTTAAAATCTAACACAAATTATTTCCATATGTCCCACTTGCTGTGTGACCTTGATTTTGAAGAGGAAGCAAAATAGATCAGTGTGTAATCTTAACCTTTCTTCCAAGGGCATCTGCTTTGCACTCTCTTCTTAGCTTATATTCACTTTGTTATATGCTATTGAGACAGTAAAGGGTGAGAAAGTAATGAGCTAAGGGTGAAATAAAGCCTATCTTATTTGGACTTAATAAATTGTATGACTCCTTTAAGAAGTAATTGAACATGCAAAGCTTCAGAGGTATTAGTTATAGTCTATTAAGAAGGTTGTTTCGTTTTCATTATTTTTAAAAAATACATATGAGTCCTTATATAGTATTTTTTCTTTCAAATTTTTGGCATAATTCCAAATTTACAGAACAGTTACAAGAAGAGTACAAAGAATTCCCATATACTCTTTACCCAAGTTCCCCGAATGTCAATATTTTATCACATTTACATCCTCTCTCATATTAACTCTTCTGATCTATTTGAGAGTAGCAAATGTGATGTCATTTTATCCCTAAATACTTTCATTGTATATTTCCTAAAAGAAAGGCATTATCTTACATAACTACAGTACAGTGATCAATATCAGCAGTTAACATT